GTAACAAATTGCATCACAATAGCATCCATTGCTGCTACATGCAGGACTATAACTTAAATTGCAGCAACCAGTGTATGGTAGATTCAATGACAAGCAACTTCCTGAAATACACAATACAATGAAAGAATACAATGCTGTCATTGAATACCTTGTATAGGAGTGGAGGATGGACTAGCAGTATTTAATATGGTTGAAGTTTGACTTACAGTCACTGCATTAACAAAAAACTTAATATAACATACTTTATTGTACTAACAAACCAGAGATAGAGCTAGAGCTGTTTCCTGAGATCACACACTTCACTCCAGCATCTTCATGATGACTACAATCATGAATTTGTGTGTATGCACATTGAAACAGTGATTTCTCAGTTCCAGTGCAGTTTACATTATCCATTAGTATACTACCATTACCTTGACCATAATAAGCTCTGCCAATTGAAACACCATCTATATATGAGAGAGTAATTATGCTTTAATATCGATAGCTAGATCTAACTTGTTCCAAGGCCCAGTTGCCTACATACAACTGCAGCATCATCATTGTCCCAGTCATCATCACAGACAGTACCCCATGCTCCATTAATACACACTTCAACTCTTCCTTCATTATCATTAGATCCACCAACAAGACGAATGTCTGAATTATTACACGGAGTTGCGCCACAAGTAACACCAGCATCTTCAGAATGGCCACAGTCATGAGTAGATGAGTAAGTACAGTTGACAAGGAATCCTTCATTTCCAGTACACTGAACATTGTCCATGTTAATAGGACCAGTACCAGCACCAAAATAAGCATTAGTACGAGCAAAAGAAGCTGTCAATTTTTTAATTATTAACAACAACGATATGTTACTCTTACTTCCATCAATTCCTAACTGATTACATACAACTGCAGCATCAGATGCTCCCCAGTCATCATCACAGACAGTACCCCATGCTCCATTAATACACACTTCAACTCTTCCTTCATTAGCATTAGATCCACCAACAAGACGAATGCTACCATAAGTACAGTCTATAATTTAGAAAGAAGCTTTAGAATATTATACTATTTATTTATGATAGACTCTTTGTTGATAGGAGATGGAATTTGTGTGATAATTGCTGAAGTGGGATAAGCAGCAGAGATTACATGATAAAAACAACAATCTAAAATTAGCTTTATAAAAATGTCGCATGTTATCAATGTTAAAAATTTGTCCTTCAACTCAAAGTACATTGTTAATATAATGGCATCTTGGGGAAATTAATTATATAGGAAATGTATTTTGTCTATGCAATCTAATTAAATGTGCTAAATCTAAACGTATATGTTATTAGATTTTGGTACTAACTACTTGTAGAGGTGCTGTTTATGATGCATCTAACTCCAGCATCTTCAGTATGATCACAATTGTGATAAGAAGTATGTTGACAGTTGATAAGTGCTTCCTCAGTTCCATCACAGCGTACATCATTCATTACAATAAGACCAGTGCCAGAGCCATAATAAGCATTGCTATATGGAATACCATCTACATACAAGAATAATTATAAACAATTTTTATACAAACTAACTTGATCCAAGACCCAGTTGTCTACATACAACTGCAGCATCAGAAACACTCCATTCATCATCACAAACAGTACCCCATACTTCATTACTACACACTTCAACTCTTCCTTCATTATCATTAGATCCACCAACAAGACGAATGTCAGTGTTATTGCATTCAGGCTGTACACCACAAGTAACACCAGCATCTTCAGAATGGCCACAGTCATGAGTAGATAAGTAAGTACAGCTGACAAGGAATCCTTCATTTCCAGTACACTGAACATCGTCCATGTTAATAGGACCAGTACCAGCACCAAAATAAGCATTAGTACGAGCAATAGAGACTGTTAAAATATTTAATTATTTAACAACAACAATATGCTACTCTTACTTCCATCTATTCCTAACTGATTACATACAACTGCAGCATCAGGTGCTCCCCAGTCATCATCACAGACAGTACCCCATGCTCCATTAATACACACTTCAACTCTTCCTTCATTATCATTAAATCCACCAACAAGACGAATGCTACCAGAAGTACAAGCTGCAAACATGTGCAATCTACTGTATCACAAATATACTCTTACTTGGAGATGGACTTGGTGTAGTCACTAATGTCATGCTGGCACTAGGTGAGGACTTGTAAGTGCTAGATACACTTGCAGTAGTAGTTGTAGTAGTAATTATTGTATTTGTGGCTTTACAAAAGAATGACATCATTTATAAATTATTGTGTTACTCACCACTTGAAGATATACAACTGACTCCAGCATCTTGACTGTGACTACACTGATGAGTAGTATAAT